GGTCAAGGAGGCCCCGGGTCTGCCTGGCTTCTTGGTGAGCGGCGGCGGCACCGCCTGCCCAGGCTGCCAGGGCCAAGGGGAAGGGCTGGGGGACACGAGTGCCCGGGAGGGACCTCGGGGACCGATGTGGGGTGGGGTGGGAGTGTGCCTCCCCAGAGCCCCCTGTAGCCTGGCACAGCCCCACCTGCTGCCGGGCTTCCCGTCCTGATCCAGGCTGCAGAACTGGCCATCCGGGGCTGGATCAAGGCTGGGGTCAGGGAAGGGCCCATCAAGCAGGGGGTCTCCTTCCCGCCCTTGCCCCAGCCCTGCTGCCCCTTACAAGCCGTCTCTTCCTCCTTTGGGCTAGGTCACACAGCACTTCAGCGGCCCCAGGACTTCCAGCTGGGGGCTGCTGTCTCACCTGCATCGCCCCGGGTGGTGCTTGTGGTGGTGGATGCTGCCCGGGGGGAGCGCTCGCAGCTGCTGTTTTGGGGGTGAGCACAAGGATGAGGAGCCCCTCTAGGGCCCGTGGAGCTGCGCTGGGAAGTCTCCTTGCTCCTCCTTGTGAGGCTTTCTGTTGCGTTGCCTCTCCCTGCATCAACAGGCAGGAGTGGGGGAAGTGCTCAGGGTCTGTGGCTCTCCCAGGGGCAAAGCGGGGCCCTGGCTGGGAGGAGCATCCCCTCCTGTGAACAAAGGCTGGGTGAGTGTAGCTGGTGCGGCAGGACTTGCTGCCGGCCTGCACGGACCTCTCCCCTCTCCCTGCAGGTGGTACCCCAACATCAGGGGATCCCGGGGGAGCTCTGTCCCATCTGGCATGAGAAGCAGCAACTGGACGTGCTCTGGGCACTCTGGCATTGCCAGAAACCACTTTCTCCCCCTCCCTCCTGTACAGGTAGATGCCTCACTTTGTAAAAGGCAAGCTTGTCCCCTCCCTGGCCCTTTCCTGCCCCTCCTGCTCAGCATTCAAGGTCCCGCTTCTTCCGCAGCGCGCACACTGCCTCCTGCCCCCGGCCCCCATTCCAGCCCAGCTGAGGGCTCCCATCCAGGCCTAGCCTGGCTTAGCAGAGAGATGGGCCAGGATCCCAGCTGACCTCTCCCCAGTGACGGGGTCTGGGGATCTCTCTGGGGTCCCCGAGACCCCTGCAGGGCTCAGCTGTGGGGTTCAGCCCCTGCCCAAAGCCTCAGGAAATCATTGGCTCTTCTCCTCTGCACAAGGCTCAAGCATCCCTGGTGGCAAGGACACCTCAAACAAGGCTGAGCAGCACGGACAAGTGAGCAGCAAGCAGTCTGTGTAGTGATCCCAACAGGACTGGGATGACATGGAGCTGGTGCCTCCACTGGGGAGCTGGGACGCTCTGTGTGACACAGGGCTGCAGCCCCAAGGATGCTGGGAAGGGCCGCTGGTCACTTCTGGGTGCGGGAGAGGCCATGGTTTTGGGCTGCTCCAGTGCGACATCTACTTGGTTCCTGCTCCAGAGGGACCATTCTCACCAGTCTGTGGACCCCGTCCCCTGAGAGACACCAGTGGGAGCCCTGGAGAAGGCCCCTCTCCAAGCCTGAGGTAAGCACCTGGGCAAGCCCTGGCTCCAGCTTCACCCAAAGACCCCAATGCCAACCCCCCTGGCTTGGTCTCCTCTAAATCCCTCTCCCGGTGGGATTGCATGCACTCCCAGCTGAGATGGGGAAAACAGGGGTGCTGCGCACGAGGTGGATGGGGGCCCATCCCAGCTATGGCCCTCTGGGGTCTCCAAACAGCCCCAGCTTCTGTGCCCCTGCGCTTTCCTGGTGTGGTATAAAAAAAGCAAAGGCCTTAAACTTTGATCAAAAAAAGGTGGTAAAGATAAAACAAAAGGCATTGTGTAAAAGTGTGGGCTAGGAAAAGAGGAAGAATGTCTGGCTTTGTGGTAATCAGCGGTTACTGAGACAGCAAGAAAGGAGTGTTTTGTAATAAAGAAATGAAAATAATGTTTTTGTAACTGTTACCGCAGCTAGGTTTCTAAAAAAATTCACTATACGTTCACGTGAATTGTAGGTGGCTGTTAAAAGGTATATAAGCCTTTTGCCTTAACGTTTAGGAAGGGAGCCCCCTCCAAGTGCATGGTGAATCCATGTCACTCTGGGCCCCTCCGACAGCTCTAGCTCTAGCCAAATAAAGCTTCTGCTGACCTGACCCAAAAGTTTGCTGCGTGTGTTTTCCACGACACTGGCCTGGCTCTTTCTGTCCCCCACAAAGGGGGCATTGGAGGGGCAGAGGGAGGAGCAGTTCTGTGCTTCTCCCGCGTGCAGCCCTGTTGTGTCAGTGGTTCCTTCCAGCCTGTTCTTGGCTGCAGTGGGAGGAACGGGGCTCTGTGAATGGTTTCTGGAGGTTTAACTGGTGATGGCAACTCCTGGCCAACTGGGGCTGAGTGCTCTGCAGCTCGGGATCGTCTGGTGTAAGAGGGAGAACATGCCAGTCTTCTCTGCCAGCCAGTTCCCCAATTCCATGTTTCCAGGACTCCTCGCACTGAGGGTGGAAGAAATTGTGCCAGGGCCTTGGTGGAGCAGACTGAATCCACCACCAGTATGGTTGCATGAAGCAGAGAGTCTGTGCATCTTCAGTCACTGCTTATGTCCTGCAATAAAGCTTCCAGCGCTGACATAGGTACCTGCGTCCTGGGTGGTCTTTGAGTACCGAGTGTGGGGATGTGATCTCCAGGGTGACAGAAAATGGGGTTGTGTGATGCTGCTTCAAAGAGCGTGGGAACAGAAGGGCCCTCCTGGGCCAGCACATCCAGCCCCTTGTGATCATGAGCCCTGTGTTTTCTCTTCTCAGCCACAATCCCAACCAGCCCTCTAGGAAAGTGTCCAGGCTGCTCGCCCACCTGCTCCTGAGCAGGAGCCGTTCCCTGTGGGCTAGAACCTGCCCTTGGTTCCCAGCCTTGGACCCTGCCATGGGCACTGGTTCTGCTGGCAGGGACAAGAAAAGAGTTGTTTGCAGTTCTGCCCTGGGCCCAGGGCCCCTATTCTCATTGCCCTGTGATACTGGCCCTGGCCCCTGCCTTGCCCCATCTCCAGCCACCCATCCCGCTCCTGGACACCAGTCTCTGCTCACCCATGGCTTCATCCCTTCTGCTGGGCTGAGTGCACCGTGTGGCCTTTTATCACAGATGTGTGACAAAAGGCTACCCAGCCCACCCTGTTTGTTCTAAGGTATTTCTCTGATAGTGCTCTATCCTGTACCCTACTCCAAACCGAGGTGGGTGGCTCAGCACAGGAGCACCCCCTACTGGCCCACCACACGCCCTGCCTGTGGGGGACCCAGGCCAGATCCGTGGAGATCTTGCCCATCTGCCTGTCTGTCCACTCCATCCGGAGCCCCCGGCAGTGGGTGAGGGGTGGTTGGGCTGGGGTGCCCAACGAGAGGGGCCTTTTCCGGTGGCAGTGGTGACTTCTGGCAGCTGCAGTGTTGCTGCCACTGGAGCAGAGGAGAGGCAGGTCTGTGGCTGCCCCAGCCCCATTGTATGCCCAGAGGTGGTGGAACTGGTTGCGTGTGCCACGGCTTGGACTGCCCCCGGTCTGTGGGCCATGAGGGGCCAGGCAACTCATTATGGGCTAGAAAGGATCATGCTGTGGGCCAGATCCAGCCCGTTGGCTGTATTTTGCCCACCCGTGCTCTAGATCTCATGCTAAGGAAGATTCTTTATTTCTTTCCTGTGAAGCCTGTGCAAACCGTTCACACCTTGAACAAGAACTAAAGAGTGAAGCTGAATGTGATCCTTTTATGTACAGCATGAAATAACCTTGCGCTGTGCATTTGTTCTGGTAGTTGTGGTTGGGGGGGGATGGATGAGAAATCCATTGGGGTTTCCTTCCACAGGTCTTAATTTTGCCATCTATGAAGCTGTTACTTTCTGTTTGGACGACATGCTGAGTGTCACTACTTCCCCTCCATCACGCTGAGTCCCTCTTCCTGTATCCCTGCATTATTTCTGGCTGAGCTAGGGGGAGCTCGTGGCATGCAGAACGATAACTTTCCATAGGCTACAATTCCCAAACTGCATTGCGGAATCAGAAAAAAATAAATGCCTTAAACTTTGATCATACGAGTTATAAGATGACATAACCGCTTTGTGGGGAATTGCTGGCTCTGCATAGCAGAGCAGATAAGGGAAAGTGTTTGTTCTTTGTAACTCCTCTGCAACTGCTTCGCTCACCGCGGCCTTGAAGATAGCAGGAAAAAAAAGTATTTACAAACTCTGATTTCCAGAAGCAAGAAGGGGGTGTTAGTTCTCGCTTTGTGAACTAACCTTGTCTCCCCCATAATTCCCATCCTGATAAGAGCAAAGCAGTAATAAGCTAGTGTTTGTAGCTGCTTTTTCTAGCAAACTCCACTATGTGATCACGTGAGTTGTAGTGACTGTTAAAAAGTATATAAGCCTCCTGATTTTGCTCTTGGGGGGGGACCCCTTCCAAGTGCTTGGGAGATCCATGTCACTTTGGAGTCCCCCCTACAGCTGTAGTTTCATTTAAATAAAAGCTTCTGCTGACCTGACCCAAAAGTATGCTGCATGTATTTCCACAACAGCATGTACAGTACAATGGATTAGCACTCAGCCACCTTGTCCAGACCTAGCTAAGCCCTTTAACTCTTTCTAAGGGTTATTGCACTTAGGATATTTCCCACCCACGACACCTCCCCTTGCTGAAGAAGTGTGATGCGTTCTTAGGCATTTCCTGTGCAGTTCAGCACAGCTACCTAGCAGGGAAACGTCGCTACCCACCTCTGACCAAACCTTCCCCTTGATCCACACCCTGGAAAAGGGGGAGAAAAGCCTGCTCAGCCCTCCCTCACTCTGCAACATCTACTGCAGCACCAGGGAGAAACCTCCACCATTCAGATTCCGGCACTTTGAGGTGCTGAGATGCTTCTGTGTTTAGCATGAGGCCAGTGGCACTTGCTCCCTGTGTGTTTGGGGACAGTTTGTTCAGGTCCTGCAGGCAGGAGACAAACGCTGCATCCTGTGTTTGAGTCCTATCTGGGATAACATTTATTCAAGAGTGTAAAAAGGAAAACAATAGCCACACTTTGTTGATTAAAATCTGAGCATAGACTCGGAGCCAAAAAATACCTACACAGAGTCTTTGTGAGGTAGACACATTTGATGACAGCCAGCTAAATGCAGACCTTCAGGTGGGACTTGAACCCACGCTCTCTGGCTGACAACTCTAATGCTGGCGCCATTAGGCCACTGGAGCTGGAAAGACTCAGCTGTGGAGGAAATGGACTTTTTTCCTTCCACATTCAACTATTTCTGAAAAGGCCTGGGACCTTTTCCTCTACACACCTTAGAGCAGGACTGGCAACATTTTACAAGCTGTGAGCCAGAACAACTTGGCTCTCATCTAATGTGGGCCATGTGGCTGGAGCAGCATATCAGTGGCAAGGAGCTTCTCCCTGCCCATGCTGGGGCCAGGCAATGGCCAGTAATGAATCAGCCCGATGGAGTCAGCACCTCCTCTGACTCAAGGGGCTGGAAAGGACCATCACCTTCTTCTCCTACGTCCTGCACAAATGCTGGGCACACTGGGAGGAATCCGCCCTTCCCCAGGCACCACCTTGCCTCTTGAGACACCCCCAGTGCAAGGGATCCCACAAGATCCCTGGGCAGCTTGATCTCTGCTTCGGTGTTATGACAGGGGTGTGGGGGAGCCTTTCTGAGCTACAGTCTAAATCTGCTGGGACAGCCTCTGTAGTGAGGGAGAGCATGTCTCCTCCCTCCCCTCTATGGCAAGTATTCAAAACCCAGTGGTTTGTATCATGTGCCCCCAGAACCTCCTTGCTCCAAGACGACTTTGCCTGGTTCTCCCAGCCTTTCCTCATGTGGCTGCTTTCCACCTGCTTTTTGCTCCACACTTACTTCTGACCCAGATTTCGCACCCAGGACACCCCTCTGTGACGATGGAAGAATGGTGCTAGACCGGCAGAAGGCAGGGCAGGATAATACTTTGGAAAGTAACTGATGCAGGGAGGCACACGCTTTCCTAGGCAGCAGCAACTTCATCAGAAGCTCTGAGCATGCTGATCATGGAAACCACCTTCTGAAGAAAGTCTGGTGAAGAAGAGCTATGAAGTATCTCATGGTCCCTGCAAGGTGTTGACTGGAAAAAGTAGCCTGCAGTCAGTGCAGTAACAAGGGTGGGGGTGAGTGGGGTGACCTCCCGGGGTGCCGTAGTAAAGGGGGTGCCAACAAGCACTGCTCAGCTGGGATGGGACATGGGATGGAGCTGTGAGTGGCTCATTGGGGGGGCCATGGGGACGGAGGAAGGGCCGCTCCCATTGCTGCGTGCACACCCGGCAAGCATGGGGTGGGGGCTGCTCCCCCCGCCCTGGATCTGTGCACAGGGCACAGGTGGGCTGCCGCTGCAGGCTTTGCCCCGGGTGCCAAACTTCGGTGCTTTGGTACTGCCTGCAGTGGCTTGTCTGAGTGAGGATTAATCCACGCAGCTGCCTCAATGACCGGATAGCAACCTTTGTTGCTGAACCAGGTATATCATTTTATCAAATCACGCGCGGATGCTCCCGGTGCCTTTTGTGATGATGACACACTCCTGTGAAGTTGGAGCTACTGTGAAGTTGGAGCCAGCTCTTGGTCTCTCATCAAGTCACAGGAAAGTGCCACCCTGGCATTTGCGCCAGACGTGAGGATGACACCAGGAGCACGCGTGGACTCCTGCGGACTCTGCCCGGGCCTTGGACATTGGATTCAGGAACGTGCATCTTGGGCAGCGGCCTGTGCAGAGGGAACCGCTGATACAAAGGAGAGGGCTGGGACCTGCTGGGAGGGGTGTGCAGCTGCTAGGTTGGACTTGTGGCAGAAAGCCACCTTTGTCTCTCCATAAAATCTCTGCTCTGTGACCATTTGATAAGGATGGGTCCAGCAGAGAGACAAATCCTTACCCTATCTTGTAGGTAACCTAAGCTGGATACATTCCTGAGGGAGGGGGGAAACCTGCTCCCTCTGCCTACGTGACTGGCATCACATCCCTGGGTGAGGGGCTTCCTCCCTGGTGGGCTAGAGTCGGCCCGGCAACTAGTGATGTATTTCAAATTGGTTGGCTCACAGCCAACAGGTGCTGGCCTCCATTGGACCAGGTAAATGAGGTCACAAGGGCTATATAAGATAAGGACTGCCCAGGAGGAAGGGGGGGCAGCAGCCATGAGGGTTACTGAGGAACAAAGAAGAGCTGAACCATCTGAAACTTGCTCTCTCTCTCAAAACTCATGATGAAGGAACCGCCTGTCTCCAGAGTGTGGTGGGAGAAACCTCCCTAAGGTTCGTTGTCTAGCTGTAATTTGATTGACAGACAACGCGGGTAAAGAAAGACAGCTGTTTATTTGCTCGAGCAAAGACCATAAAGCCAGCAAAAGGCAAAATGGCCCCCCCCCTAAGGGTGAGGTGATCTTTTATACTTATTACAACAAGGCAAGACTTTATGGTTAACA